CTCAGCTCCAACAATGAACTGTTCCATTTATACACTTATTTTCACATAGCTATGAGAAGCGTTATACATGGACGCGCGTGCGGTTCCCGTACTGTATTAAAGCTTTAATCAGGATAAAACCGTATATTAAAAGCTAACAGAAGCAGTAGCATTTACAAATAACAGTGTATCTAAAAGTATGAGACAACAACAATCAAAAAACATACCATTAAGAGCCGTGCTTGCACAGATTCTGCGCGATCCTCTTCACTAATATCATCTGCGTCTCAATCAGGCTCAAACTGATAAGCGATATAGACGATGCCATTGTTTACAATACTGCCGTGCAAAGGCAAAAGACCGTAACTTCGATTTTTGTCGAAAATTAGTTATTTATATTTTTGGGACTTTCAAGACATCCTTTATCATGTGCATAAGTATCTTGAGTCAGTTTAGTTGTTTTTCAGAGAAAATAATGGGTACTCTCAACCGTAACTTCGAAAAGCCCCCAGAGAAACCAAGGCAGAACACCGTATAACACCAGTTACGACTCTTTCACTTTGTTTGGAACGCTCAAATTGAGTTATGGCTTTCTGCCTTTGTTTAACTGCGTGTCAAAATGAAGTTACGTGCCGGTTTGGAGTTATACGGTGTTCTGCCTTTTTTTTTTTTTTTTTGTGTTTGTTAAAGCGATCAACGTCATCGGAGATATTTAATCCACTAGCATTCTGAGCATTATTCCTGCTTGCTGGCGTTCACATCAATCCACAAGTCGTTCTTTTAGTTTAGGCTATTTCATACAAGTCAATATAAAAGCAATTATGCTATGTATAGAATTATTTTACATTTCTGAGCATAGCAAATAAATTGGTATCCACGGTATCCACTCACGTTTAACTTTTAGTCTGCTTGTTACGGTAAAAAAAAAAAAAAATTTATACATTCACATTACTATATGCAGTTGCCTATATGAGATAGCCCATGATCACTAGATTTTTTACAGGTGTTACTATAATGATTATTACTATAATGATGGTGATCAGCAACCAAATATTGATAATGTGGAAGTTACTGCCTTTTGCCTTGGTGTGACTGGTGTGACTTTGCAGACAATGCAAAGGCAGAGTACATTAACCTCAAAATAGGGGTAAAAATCAAGTTTGAGCTCACAATTTTTTAATGTAGATCATTTTAATTACTAAAACATCTAATTGTTAAATTTCCAGTGTCCTACCTATAATTAATTTGGCTGGACAAGTAATAAACTTTAAAGTAATTTTTCTCAGTTTCACACTCTAGCGAGTTAAGGTCTTTTGCCTTTGTAGGGCAGAATACAACCGGAGCACATGCCACTGAGGTGAGGGGCGTGACGTTCAGACGCGCACTAGAGGCGATTTAGCCAATCACAACACACTGGGCCAGCTAACCAATCTGAGCCCATCACG